CTGGGCCCTGCCCGGAGGGACGCGGAGCTCCTCCGGGGGTTGGGAGGGCCCTGCGGGGGTGAGGGGTATGTGTCGGGGGTCTAAGCTAAATTTCCCTCTTTCAGTTCGTACTCATCGCTCCTTGTCCTGTCACTGCAGCTCCTAACCAAGAATCCTTCTGCAGCTTCTCTGGAGCCCCTTCAGATATTGAGAAGTTGTTCTGAGGTCTCCACACAACCTTCTCCAGGCTGAGCAGCCCCCACTCCCTCAGAGTTATATATCTGACAATACTTAGTGACATTCCTTCTCCCATGCTCACTGGTGCTGGGGTTTGGTGTTTGAGCCAGCGTGGCTGGTCTCCAGGGCCCTTGCAGCTGGCACAGGTGTGTGTTGTTACGTGCAGGTCCGTGTGGAAGGCTTCAACTACGTGGGCATGGGCAACTCCACGAACAAGAAGGATGCGCAGAGCAACGCTGCTCGGGACTTCATCAACTACTTGATCAGGGTGAATGAAATGAAGAAGGATGAAGTTCCTGCTTTTGGAGTAAGCTGCTCTCTCTCCTTACCAAAGCTAATCTTTGACTGCAGTGTGGTGCTCCTAGTTGTGTTCCACCTCTGGTGCTCCTGTGCAGAGAAGTGAGTGTGAGGGACTTAGGCTTGCAGCGCTGGAAAGCTGGAATACATGCATAGAGTCATGGAATATAGAATCACCGAGGCTGGAAAAGACATTTAAGATAATGGAGTCTGACTGAATGTTGTAGGATGATCTGCTAACGACATCTGCACGTTGGGCTGCAAAGCTGCTGAGGCTGGGAAGGATTCAGAGTCCCTGTGAGGTGCTGAGTACTCACACTTGACACTGGGAATTGCTTTAGATGCATGTTATAATTAATATAATTTGTACACATCTGATCCTGTGTACTTTAAAACAAATATGACAACAGAAACAATCATAATCACAGACATCTCAAACCAGGCCTTGAAAATTTGGTGGTTTTAACTAACTGCTGTCTGCTTTAGCACCTGAGGTGTGTGACTGCTTTTGAGGGTGTTTTATGCACCATCAGCAGTGAGTATCATGTAAAGCTGAGGAGGATAGTGACTGTCTTCACAGCAGTTTTAGAGAAAAAATAAATTAAAGCATGAAGCTCCCTCTTATCCCTTGGGAGGGAAGAGTCTTCTTCCCATGCCTCATTAAGGGTGTACCTGTACAAGATACATCCTTTGCTGAGGGAAGGAGTGTCCCTGCCTCGTTGGCCTCAGTGAAACCCTGTGGGAACAGCACTGATATATTGCTGATGTGTCAGTTAGTTTCATGGCAGTTCAGTGTTCAGATATTCACAGGTTTATCCCTTTGAGTTTTGAACAGGGTGTTACTCTTTGTCGTGGTTTAACCCCAGCAGCAGCCAAGAACCACACAGCCACTCACACACTCTCCCACCAACGGGATGGGGGAGAGAATCAGAAGGGTAAAAGCTACAAAAACTCATGGGGTGAGGTAAAGACAGTTTGGTAGAGGAACAAAAGCTGCACACACAAGCAAAGCAAAACAAGGAATTAATTCCCTGTTTCCCACAGACAGGAGGTATTCAGCACCTCCAGGAGAGCAGGGCCCATCACACGTAACGGTTCCTTGGGAAGACAAACACATCACTCCAGATGTCCTTCCCCCTTCTTCCCACTTCATATACTGAGCATGATGTCATTTGGTATGGAATATCCCTTTGGTCAGTTTGGGTCACCTGTCCCAGCTGTGTCTCCTCCCAATCTCCCATGCAGCCCCAACTTCCTTGCCAGTATGGCAGTATGGAAAACAGCAAAGGCCTTGGCTCTGTGTAAGCTCTGCTCAGCAATAACAAAAACATCTCTGTATTATCAACTCTGTGTTCTGCACAAAACCTAAGCATAGCCCCATACTAGCCACCGTGAAGAAAGTTAACTCTACTCCAGCTCAAACTAGCACACTCTTGGGATCGCTACTGGGTAGTAACTATTGCAGAGAAAACTGTTGCATAATGTTGCCTGAGCTCTTGAAACTGCCTGAGCAGTTTCTAGCTGAACAGTAAAAACACCTCTTTATTCTGTACCAATGTGCTGAGCTTTTCCTTTATTCCCTTTCCTAGCCATCTGTGGGGGACACCCCTGATGGGGGACAGGAAGCAGCAAGAGATGTCTCTGGTTCCAGTTCAACTCTGGGGGGACCTCTTCCTCCACATTTGCTTATAAAGTCTGAAGTAGGTAAGACTGTGACAACTGTAGTTTGTGTGGGTGTAATCAATAGATTGGGGTGGGTTTTTTTTTAGTTCCCAGATAGCATCACTCTGCAGCCAGGAGGCAGCTGGAAGTCCCTGTAGTTTTCAGACCAAGGTGTGAATGGCTGCATGAGATCTGAGGGACTGGTCATGGCCTGTCCAGATGGCCAGGCAATGCCTCTCCATTGCTCAGGACATGTTTTGGGGCAGTTAGCTTAGTTTTGTTCTTTTTTTTGCCATGTTGTAGGCAATGGCCCAGGTGCAGCACCTGGAAACTGTGGCACTCCTGGAGCTCAGTGGGATCGAGGTGCAAATCTGCAAGATCACTATTCAAGGAAAGAGGACCAAGAGGCACAGGAGGTAAGTCATGCTATGGAATTCTCCTTCAGCTCTGAAATAGGTGCCTTTCACTCTCTGTACTTTGTTGTTTGCATTTATAATTAAGCTTGCAGTTCCCATTTGATATTTTGCTGTTGGTTTGAGCTGCAGATCTAAAGCTGCAGATTTACTTTTGTTGACTTTTAACAAAGGGAATTTGTGTAAGCTAAGAGCAAAATAAATCACTCTGGACACTGACTATCCAAGTGTTTGAATGGATATTTTGTTGTGAAAATAAGGAAGTACTGAGGACTCTTTAGCACTTTCTGCAATGCCTTAATTATTTTATAGGATTTAGATGAGTTAAAGACTTAAAGAATGTTTAAAACTAGTAAGTGATACTTTTCTTTCACTATTAGACCCCAGAGTCAGAAGTGGATTTAAATGCTGACCTTCACGGGGGTTGGACCTTGGAAAATGCCAAGGCACGTCTGAACCAGTTTTTCCAAAAGGAGAAGATCCAGGAGGAATATAAATACACTGAAATGGGGCCTGACCACAACAGGTTTGGTAGTTTTAGTCACCCTCTGTGTACAAAGGGTTAGCAATGCTTTTGTGACAGTGGCTGTTCACACATCCTTGCAGTGCTCCACAGTGTTCTTTTCCAGGACCAACAGCATCCCTCAATCTTGAAAAGCAGTGAGGAGCCTCTCCCTATGAGGTCTGAGGGATTGAAGACATTTTTGTCTGATGTTTTTCATGGATGTGCAGCTTTGACACTGATTTGTGTGCTGTATCCAGCTGTAGGGGTGTCAGCTGGACTGAAAAGAGTTCAATTGCTTGTGGTAACTTTTATGACTCTTATTGCCTTTGTGCCCTTTGAGTAAATCTTCAATAGTTACTTTTGTTTATGTATCAATGTGCTTTAAGGACATTTTATTGTTCTTTGGTATTACAATCAAGATTTGTGGAATCTTCTACTGAAAAAATGTTTGGCAGAATCTTTCTGAAGGAGTTTTAAGGGTCTTAAGTTTCAGTTGAAACCAGCTGCATTTTACTCTCTTTTGACTTCCTGCCCATTCCATCAGAGGATTTGCATGTGCTTTTCCCAAATGAAATTAACTCATAACAGATTGTGCACAAAGGATTGATGGGTTTTATTATTTTTACCCCCATTTGGAACAGTCTTTGCAAATCATTAAAGCCTCAGCACATTGTGTTATTTCTGGTGAAACAGAGTGATGTTTTATGGCCAGAAACAATGGCTTGCTGCTGCTGGATTCTCTTGCTTGGGCTTGGGGTGGGTTTTATTGTGTTACATAAACTTGTGTTCTATGAGAGTTATTATTTCCAGAAAGACAAGAGAATTTTCCTACTGCAGCTTCCAGGAGACTCTCACTTGCAGGACTTGTGGTATTCTTTTCTTGTCTAGTCTTCCAAGCATTTAGAGCATCTAAAATATGTGTTGGTGCAGAAAACTGTAAATTCTCACTTAAAACCTGTCTTCAACTCACTTCTCCTCCATTTATGTCTCTCAGGCAAGGCCATTTCTTTCTTTTAAATGAGTGACATAAAAAGTTAGTTTGTTCAGTGCCAGGAATTTCAAGTAGCCATAGGTTTTGAGCATTTCCTTTATCCTGTAGCTTGAGGAATATTTGTGCAGCTCGTTTTGTTCCACCTTCAGCAGGGAGAAGCATTAAAGCCCATGTATTTAAAGTTAGATACTCCTGAGCAGAACAGAATGGCTACAGATGACAGTATGTTTACCATGTATTTAAAGTTATATACTCCTGAGCAGAGCAGAATGGCTACAGATGACAGTATGTTTCTCAGCCTGGTTATTGTTGATCTGAAGGGCATTTCAGGGCTCCCTAGTTCCTGTTTATCCTGGGAAGCTTGTGTGAATTTCCCTGGATGGAATGGCAGAAGGGGAAATTCACTACTTGCTGCCACAGATCACATAAGTATGGAACAATCCTAATGTGTTGTAGGGTTCATGAGAGAGGACAAACTTAGATCTAATCCTTCTGGTGTGTGTAATGGGATCATTTCAGGTGATTCTGGAGTTTTGAGGACAGTAATATAGGTTGTATTTTAAGAAATAACAGTTACCAATCTGTAATGATCAGAGACATTAATTGCAACATACTAACTGACATGTCAACCTTTGCTCTCAGAGGTTTGTGGGCAATTAATCCTGGTCATGGTCTAAGAATGTAGTAAGAGCTGTGAAATTTGGATTTGGAAACCTGAGTTATGACAGGAGGGTGTAAGTTGTAAATATGAACATGGCTCTCCTAAAACACAAAGCATGAACTCACTCTGAGGGGATGGGATGTGGCTTTTCTGTGTTGGGATTCCACTGGAAGTGTGGGGTGCCTTTGCCTCCTGTTGTGCTGGAGATGGTAGCAGTGAGTGCCAGCACAGCTGTGTGAGTGCTCACACACAGGCTGCAGAGCCTGTGCTAGGGAACCACGTGGGCTTCTGCTGCAAACTGATTTCTGGTGTTGCTGTTCTCCCCTCAGGTGGAGGAGAATGAGATTGAATGCTGACTGTAGGCCTGGCTGAGAAACATACTGTCATCGGTGTCTTAGGTGGCTGTTGTGTCCCTGAGAGCCAGTGGCCTTCCACCCCTGAAGCCACTGTGCCTGAAGGTCAGTCCACTGCTAGCACAGGAAGGAGGTCTCACTTGAAATTTAAATCATTCACTTAACCTTTCTTATTGTTTGTTTGCAGCAAGGAATGAAAGGCACAGGGGAAAGGCTCTGCCTGCAGCTGTGCAGGTGCCAAGGCCTAGTGGCCAAAGAGGAACTCACTCTGATAAAGCCCAGTCATAGAATCATAGAATTTTAGGACTTTGAATGGACCTTAGAGATGATCCAGCCCCAAGCCCTGCCCTGGGCAGGGACACCAACCTGTACCAGTGTCTCACCACCCTCACAGGAATTGAAAACTTCTAAGATCCAACCTAAATTTCTCCTCCTTCAATTTTAATTAATTATGCCTTGTCCTGTCCCTGCAGTTCCTAACACAGATCCCTCTGCAGCTTCCCTGGAGCCCCTTCAGCTCCTGGAAGGTGCTCTGAGGTCTCCACACAACCTTCTCTTCTCCAGGCTGAACAGCCCCAACTCCCTCAGCCTGTCCTTGTAGGGAAGGTGCTCCAGTCTCTGATCAGCTTCTTGGTCTCCTCTGGACTTGCTCTAACAGTTCCATGTCCTCCTTACACTGAGGGCACCAGAACTGTGTGCAGTGCTCCAGGTGGGTCTCAGGAGAGCAGAGCAGCAGGGGAAAAATACCACTCGAGTCACATTTGCCAGTTTAAATCCTGTCTCATAAGAATCTGGCTTTAATTTTTCATCTGACAATGATGGATCATGCTTTCCATCCTCTGTGGAGGATTATTGATTTATGTTATTTTTAAAGCCTAAATTCCTCCCTGTGAGGTGCTGAGGCTCTGGCACAGGGTGCCCAGAGCAGCTGTGGCTGCTCCATCCCTGGGAGAGTTCCAGGCCTGGTTGGATGGAGTTTGGAGCAGCCTGGGCTGGGGGGAGCTGTCCCTGCCCATGGCAGGGGGTTGGACTAGATTGTCTTTAAGGTCCCTTCCAACCCAAACCATTCCATGAGCCTGTGATTCTGTGATTCATATCCCAGTTGACCTTTAAATGAACCAGTGCCCACTAAGCAAACTGTTTGGTTTGCTGTGCAGAGTTACCTTTGAGTAACTGTTACTCCAGTTACTCAGTAAATTAAAGTTCTGCTGTTCCCAGAGTATGGCAACAGGGGAATGGAATTTCATGCAAATTCAAGCATTCTGTCTCCTCCTGTGCAGATAAGTTAATGATCTTTAACAGAATGACCTGGTTTGGCTTTGGCTGTGCTCTGAGCTGGCCAAGTGGTGGTACAAAGCAGAGTAACTGTATTAAATGTTGCACCTGAGTTGTTAACCTGAGGCCACTGGTGGGTGACACTGGTGTTCCTGCTGTGGGATACAGTTAATGCTGCAGTGGGATGCAGTTAATGTTGCATTAGCATCCTGCCTGCTTTGTGATTCTTGCCTTAAACCCAGACCCTCAGGGCATGTTTCCTAATGATGTGGCTTTCCATTTCACTGCTGAACTGTGCCATTTGCAGGAGTCTTCTTACCAAATCTGTGTTTCCACCAGTGGCAGGTGTGTTACCTGCTAGCTTGGGGTTAAGGGGCCTAAAAGCAGTAATATTTCACCTTTGCCATTGATGAGTTGAGAGGTTCTGACTGAGAACACAGAGATCTTTGCCTAGAGAAGTTGGAAA